ATAATCAAAAATGAAACAATAACCATAATAACCATAATAACAACCAACCAACAAAAACAACCATATAAACATAATACCAACCAAAACCATAGATAACAACCACAATACAAAATCAAATATATCAAACCATTAAAGCAAAACTGTCCTCCAATTATCAACAAATCTCAATATCTTGTACGAATTATTCGAAATACAAACCAAAAACAGCCCGCAAACTCTCTCAAATTCTACCAATTATCATAATCCCGCCCCTTATGCAGAACCAACCCCCCTCCCATCCCAGTTTATCCTCTTTATCATAAACAAAATCCATCTCACTTTTCAGAATAAAGCATTACACAAAATCAATACCTCAACACTCCATACTCAACAATGATAATTCCAGAACATGTAACTCCACATTCCCAAATATACCTCATTTCCATAGCCCCGCCCCTTATGCAAAACCAACATCCCTCCCCTGTTCTAGTCAATTAAGCTTCCTCTTCTTTCACTTCTTTTTCCTCAACTTCAACCTTATCGCTCCCCCTTCACTCTCACCATCTGATTAAGAATGAATAAAAGCATTGTATTTTTGTCTGGGTGCTGACAAAGTAAGCACTCACTCTCTCTGTTGGCGTTTGCAAATCGTTTTATTTTTAAATAAATTTTAGCAAAGTCATGTATTTTAAAAATCTTAAGATTTTTATATTTATGTCTTTATTTAGTGGTTTCATTAGTGACAAAGGCTAAACTTTCTTGGAAAAATGTATTTTATGTAAACCAAGTTTGATATTAAATTATTTAGGGCAAGAATATGTTCTTTGTCTTCCAATGAAAGAAGCGTTCCTTTCGCCATAGTCGGGAGACATTAGAAGCTTGCCACGCCCGGACTGTTACACTAACACATTAGCATGTTAAAGCGATTTCATTGAGGAGCCTAGCTTTCTTAACTAGTAAGTACTGTACTTACTGGGTTTTGGAGGGGGGAGGTGTCTTTCGCTGGAAATCTCACCCCCTTCTACTTTGAAAAAATACCTGTGAAACCAGTTTAATTCGTCACAGCCAGCACTCACGCAGAGAGGGGGGTTGTGCTTGCAGTGCATCGGTATAGATGGGAAAGCAAGAGCCGACCTCTACACTGCCCCCGTGTTATGCTCTTCGTCAGTGTCTAAGCCGGAACACATCATTATAACTCATTTTGTATTTCTTAAAAAAAATAAAAAATCGTTTGCTCAGCCTAACAGTATTGTTGTTATTGTTTTTATCCTGTAAAGGGCTTTGAGGAGCCACCTTTTAAGGCGCCATATACAATAAAGTTAATTATTATTCCTATTGTTAATTTGCTGGACAGAGAGGTGAACATTATTACGCAGAAGACAAAGATAGCGATTTACGTTACATTGTGCATTGTGCTGCTGTAATGCAGTTTTAAATAATATAAAGTCTACACAGTATCAGCTTATGGGTTTTAAATAAAGGTGATTTAAATGTGATTTGAAATCAATTATTAATGTTTATATTGTAACGCATAGGTGACTATTCATTGTTATTAAAATGACTTAAATTCGATCATGTTGTGATATTTAGAAATATAAATTTGTTTGGTGCGAGTGAATTTTTATATAATCTCTGACCCAGGGAAACATTTTATTTTTTCAAAGAAATGTTTGTTAAAAAAGTCAGGGCTCCAGCTGGATTCCAACACCCAACATGTAATGTATAAGTTGGGAACCTAACCCACAGCGTCACCGGCAAGATCACATGAGGAGTGTTGAAAAAGCCCTATAAACATTGTCAACAGACATCGTACAGCTTGTAAAATTCTTGTGTTGCGGTACAATTTCTTTAGATACGCGACTCCATATTATATTCCCTTTTAATCAAATTCTAAAAGTATGCTTGTTGACTCCGGTATCACGTTAGTTAAAGACTTCGATGCTTAAAATGTTTAGGGAGAAATGGAATACTGGTGTGTATGTTTTCTTTAAAGTACCGAGACCAGCCATATACTGTATGTTTATGTTCCAAAATTAATATCATTTATGGCCTTCACACCCGTTACAGTATGCTCCTATTCTTTTTATGCTCAGCTACTAAGATTTCCCTTCAGTGGTAAAATTCCATATAAATATTCAATACTAAAATGGGCACAGTAAAGACATTTAAATCTTCCTAAGACCGACCAACGAACCACGAGTGCCCCTGTCAGTCAACCGATCACATACCGCGGTATTTTGCGTTATCGCACGTCACGGATGTAGCCAATTACCCGCGGTATGTGTCCGTACCGTGCATTTTGAATGGCTGCATCTGTTTATCAGTCAAACACTTAGTGGCATAGAAAAAACCTTTTTACCTTAATTGCTGGATTACTTAGCCCTCACAGCCCTGAGTACCACAGAGTGTGTGTGAGGATGACTATGAGCTTGTTAGACTAGGGGATCTTACCTGAACACATGGGACAACAGCTCCCCTCCACATTCATGGGCTCAACACAAGGAAGGACTGGACAACTAACTGTAGAGCACAGAGTTTGTCCCTGCAGGCAGTAGCAGTGAGTGCAGCTGTCAATGTCCCACCTTTCCTCATCTGCATAGGTCTTCCCGTTGAAGTGGCAAACTGCTTTCTTCGGAGTAGTGTCCTCTGAAAAAGACAAACATGAGAAGGTTCTGTGAAAAAGCTCCAATACAGATATTGAGAAAAATGTAATTATGGCACTATAAGATAAGATAAGAAAAGATCACATTATTAGCCATTTACAATTTCTTACATTAGGAATTCATGTTTTTGCATACCCCAGCTTGCTCTTCATGAGACACAGACAGGGAGGGAAGCTTAGGGGGAAGAGCACAGGGTCAGCCATTGTACAGTGTCCCTGGAGTAGCTGGGGTTAAGGGCCTTGCTCAGGGGCCCAACGGAGTAGGATTCGAACTGGCTACATGAATCACAAAACCTTTTTCTGGTTTTATGAAAGAATAAAATTTAATGAAAGAACATAAGAATGTTCACTTAAATTTTTTAATGATTAGTTGGAGTTTATTTGACACTGTCAAAATTTATTCTAGCACAAAACCTTTGAAAACCTATGCTAGACTCGTTGGTTGTGTAACATTGATTTCGAATTAAATAAAGAAAACAAAAAATAATATAACCTCAAAATATTTAACATTTATTAAATTGTTTTACATAAAATTCCAACCTCTACCACTGACTCATTGTGTGACACGTTTTAGATTAGTCATAAAATGGATTACATTTTGTAAGTCACGTTTCATTAGCAGTTTTTATTGTATTTTTTAAGTCATTTTAAAATAAATTTATGCTATATGCAAATGAAAATTATGAGGAAGAAGGAGGGAAACAGGAAGGTATGCTGCATTGTGCTTCATTGTTTCAAAAGCACTGAATCACAACAGTTCCGTCAGCTGTTGGAATATGAGACAGAGTACACATGATTTGATTTGATGCACAACAAAGTGAGATGGTTATCTTGCAGCAGAGTACTCGAACTCTTTCTGAGCCTCCTCCCAGAATACGAAACTTTCTTGACAGCAAAGGGAAAAGCGAGCCAGAGTTGAAAAACCCAGAGTGGATTCTCAAACTGGCCCTTTTGACTGACATTACACTTCACCTGAACACTCTGAATCTCTGCCTCCAAGGAAGAGAGAAATTGTACACATTTGACAAATAACTAATTCTCATTTATTTAAAGCATAAATAAATGTATACTATATGACTCAATATTTAAAACTTTGTGGCATGTTAACTTCCTAACAGCATTCTTTTCCAGACGTCTTTTCTTAACCCTGAGATTGTTCAAATCACAACTTTTGATTAATTATTAAAATAGACCTTCTGGCTCAGGCTAAAACCTAAATTCACTAAAAGTGAGTTTTTGGAGTATCTGTGAGAGCTATTTATTTCATTTATACATGTGAAAGAATCACAGGATATAAAATACATGTACTATAGTAATGAATATCTTAATTGTTTGCACTAAAGACACAGGAGAACAATTTAATGATTAAATGTCTTTTAGTAAAAAAACACAAAGAAATGAAAACAAGATAGCCTTACATTTTCAACTCCCTTTGATTTCTGAAAACACACAAAAAGGGAATAAGTTACCTTTTGATGTGATTTCATTACTATATTAGAGGCAGCCCATTAGTCACAACCTTTTCTCTCTACTGATGTCCTTGATTGCAGCAGTAACAGCTTTTATATTTTCTTTCCCACAGTATTCAGGAAGGTTCAGGAAGTGGATTTGTCCATACTTTGATTACTACTATAAAATCACAAATAAACTTGGAATATAATCCTTATTTTCAAAATGGAAGGACAAATAATTGTTAAAATTTGCATATGCCTAGTGCATGCTTCTCCTTCTAGAAGATGGTTTAATGGTTTAATGGTTTTGCTTCAGCATGCACGTCTGCTGTTAACTTTGAAGCAAGGATGAATGTTATTCAGTTATAGCAGACTGTGAAGGGGAATATAAAACTACATTGAACAGGGAATGGGCAATGTCAGTTTTAAACAATTTTCCTATTTTAAAATGAGCATTTATGAAACAGGATGATAAGAATGCAAAACATTGTAACTAAAGAGAAATTTGGTAGCCAAAAATAAATAAAACTGATGTATAATAGCTGATGTACAATCATTAATGTTATTAGTATAATAATAATAATGATACTGCATATACATATCTAAAATATTATATATAGTTACAGATGGGGGGTTATGAAATTGGTGAACATCAGCATAATTAGAAGCAGGTGAATTCTTTAATCTCTGGCACAGCTTTGGTGAAAAGAGTAATAATCCAAGTACACTTCTTTAAACAAATGACAAGACAAAGACAACAATACAAACAACAAAACATACAGCAAACAAGTTACTATATTTATAGTACAGATGCAGCCATTCAAAATGAGCGGTAAAAACCCGCGGTACAGTAACCAACCCGCAGGGCAGAGTAGGGCACCGCAGGGCAAGTGATTGGCTGGCCAAAATGACCGACAGGGGCACTCGTGCATTGGTTGGTAGTGAAAAGATTTAATCATTTAATGTCTTTACTGTGCACATTTCAATCCGCTTAGTTTTGAATATTTATATGGAATTTTACCACTAAAGGGAAATTTTAGT